CTGGACCAGGCACACCATGAATGCCTTGGGGCCCACCAGGGGACATGAAGCATGAATTCAGGGGCAGGACCTGCCCACAACCACTCACACCACCAGCACCTCAGGGCCCCACCAAGAATTCAAGGATTGGAGTCAGGACCAGACCCCACTCCCACTTACCAGCACACCACCAATGCCTAGAGGCCCGCCAAGGGACCTGGGGCTAACAGCCAGGGACTGGACCCCCTTTCCACAACCAGGCATGCTGTGACAGTGCCTCAGGGCCCCACCTGGGGACCCAAGGCATGGAGAAGGGGACTGAACCTCCCTCCCACAAACAGGCACACCACGCCAGCACCTTGGGGTCTGCCCGAGGACCCAAGGCATGGAGAAGGGGACCAGACGCACCTCCCACAACCAGGCACACAGCACCAGCGCCTTGGGGCCCACCTGGGGACCCTAGGCATGAAGAAAGGGACCGGAACCTCTCCTACAACCAGGCACCCTGCGCCAGCACCTTGGGGCCTGTGCTGGGACCTGGGGCATGGAGAATGGGACTGGACCCCCTTCCCACAACAGGTACACCATGCCAGTGCCTCAGGGCCTGCCCAGGGACCTGGGGCATGGAGGAGACCGGACCCACCTCCCACAACCAGGCTCACCACACCAACACTTCGGGGCCTGCCAGGAGATCCAAGGCATGGAGAAGGGTACTGGACCCCCCTCCTTCAACCAGGCTCACTATGCCAGCATCTCGGGCCCACCCAGAGACACGGGGTAAGGAGCTGGGACCGGACCCACCCTCCCACAACTAGGCATGCCAGGTCAGAGCATCAGGACCCACCCAGGGACCCAAGGCATGGAGAAGGGGACCAAACCTCCCTCCCACAACCAGGCACACCGTGCCAGTGCCTTGGGGCCCACCCAGGGACCCAGGACATGGAGAAGGGAACCGGACCCCTTTCCCACAACTAGGCACCCTGTGCCAATGCCTCAGGGTCTGCTCAGGGACCTGGGGGAAGAATGGGACCAGATCCACCTCCCACAACCAGGCAACCCACGCCAGCACCTTGGGGCCAGCCGGGGATCCAGGGTATGGATCTGGGGACCAGACCCCCATCCCACAACCAGGCACTATGTGCCAGCTCCTTGGGGCCTGCCCTGAGACCCGGGGCCTGGAGAAGGGGACCGGACCCCCCTCCCACAACCAGGCACCCCATGCTAGTGCCCTGGGGCCTGCCCTGGGACCCAGGGCCTGAAGAAGGGAACCAGACCTCCTCCCACAACCAGGCACCCTGTGCCAGTGCCCCAAGGCCCACAAGGGGACCCAGGGTATGCATCTGGGGACCAGACCCACCTCCCACAACCAGGCACTCCGTGCCAACACCCCGGGGCCCACACAGGGACCTGGGGTATGGAGCCGAGGACCAGACCCCCCTCCCACAACCAAGAACCCTGTGCCAGCACCCCAGGGCCCACAAGGGGACCTGGAGTACGGAGCTGGGGACCAGACCCCCCCCTCCCACAACCAGGCACCCTGTGCCAGCTCCTTGGGACCTGCCCTGGGACCTGGGGCTTGGAGAGGGGACCAGACCCCCCTCCCACAACCAGGCACACCGCACCAGTGCCTCAGGTCTGCCCATGGACCTGAGGCATGGAGAAGGGGANCACCATGCCAGTGCCTCAGGGCCTGCCCAGCGACCTGGGGCATGGAGAATGGGACTGGACCCCCTTCCCACAACAGGTACACCATGCCAGTGCCTCAGGGCCTGCCCAGCGACCTGGGGCATGGAGAATGGGACTGGACCCCCTTCCCACAACAGGTACACCATGCCAGTGCCTCAGGGCCTGCCAGGAGACCCAAGGCATGGAGAAGGGTACTAGAACCCCCTCCTTCAACCAGGCTCACTATGCCAGCATCTCGGGCCCACCCAGAGACACGGGGTAAGGAGCTGGGACCGGACCCATCCTCCCACAACTAGGCATGCCAGGTCAGAGCATCAGGACCCACCCAGGGACCCAAGGCATGGAGAAGCAGACCAAACCTCCCTCCCACAACCAGGCACACCGTGCCAGTGCCTTGGGGCCCGCCCAGGGACCCAGGACGTGGAGAAGGGAACCGGACCCCTTTCCCACAACTAGGCACCCTGTGCCAATGCCTCAGGGCCTGCTCAGGGACCTGGGGGAAGAAGAATGGGACCAGATCCACCTCCCACAACCAGGCAACCCACGCCAGCACCTTGGGGCCAGCCCGGGGATCCAGGGTATGGATCTGGGGACCAGACCCCCATCCCACAACCAGGCACTATGTGCCAGCTCCTTGGGGCCTACCCTGGGACCCGGGTCCTGGAGAAGGGGACCGGACCCCCCTCCCACAACCAGGCACCCCATGCTAGTGCCCTGGGGCCTGCCCTGGGACCCAGGGCCTGAAGAAGTGGACCAGACCTCCTCCCACAACCAGGCACCCTGTGCCAGTGCCCCGAGGCCCACAAGGGGACCCAGGGTATGCATCTGGGGACCAGACCCACCTCACACAACCAGGCACTCCGTGCCAACACCCCGGGGCCCACACAGGGACCTGGGGTATGGAGCCGAGGACCAGACCCCCCTCCCACAACCAAGAACCCTGTGCCAACCCCCCCCGGGGCCCACAAGGGGACCTGGAGTATGGAGCTGGGGACCAGACCCCCCTCCCACAACCAGGCACCCTGTGCCAGCTCCTTGGGACCTGCCCTGGGACCCGGGGCTTGGAGAAGGGGACCGGACCCCCCTCCCACAACCAGGCACACTGCACCAGTGCCTCAGGTCTGCCCATGGACCTGAGGCATGGAGAAGGGGACCAGACTCCCCTCCCACAACCAGACACCCCGCACTGCAGGGCCCACCTTGGGACCCGGGGTATGGAGCCTGGGACCAGAGCCCCCTCACAACCAAGCACCTCGTGCCAGCGCCTCGGGACCTACTCAGGGATCCAGGGCATGGAGAAGGGGACTGGGCCCCCCCCCCAACCAGGCACACCGTGCCAGTGCCTTGGGACCCACTTGGAGACCCAGGGCATGGAACTGGGGATCTGACACTCTCCATAACCAGGCATACTGCCAGCACCACAGAGCAAGCCAAAAACATCTCTTCCATGTGGGTGATCCACCACAGCCACCATGATAATCATGGCTGCCGCAAAGGCAGCTAGATGCCACAACGACCACACAGATGGTCCACCAGCCACTGGAGTGAGTTGACACAAGGAGATTCACCAGCAGAGATAAAGAAAGGAGGAGGATGTCTGTCTCCACAGAGCCCATTTCATAGTGATGGAAGAGACATCTGCTCTATGATAGTATTGGGCGACCTGATCACACATCTCAGCATTGGACAGATCATTTGGGCAACAAATCAACAAAGTAACCATTATTCTTTCAGAGGGAGAGAAGAAATCTAGGGTGATTAGAGGGGGGAGGGGGAGAGGAAGGGAGATGAGGAGGGATTAGGCGAGGGGCATAAAGAATAATTACAATTTGTAACAATATATATGCTAGTAATATTGATTTGATCAACATATCTCAATGTTGAAACCCAAAAATATGTATAATCAATTTTGATTCAATAAAAATTACAATTAAAATTTTTTTAAAATTTAAAAATTTAAAAAAATAAAATAAATAAATTTTAAAAATTTTTTAAAAACACGACCAATAAGGGGATCTTAACCCTTGACTTGGTGTTGTCAGCACCACGCTCTCCCAAGTGAGCTAACCGGCCATCCCTATACAGGGATCCGAACCTGTGGCCTTGGTGTTATCAGCACCACACTCTCCCAAGTGAGCCATGGGCCAGCCCCGAAACACAGAGCTGTTAATTTTTATGTTCTTCAACTCCCTGCCTATAGACTCAGTTTATAAACACTAAAATCAATTTTTCTGCATCTATG